GTTTTTGGGGTAGGAGGAGGAAAAGGGTGGGGGAGGGAGGTTGGAAGAGTGGGGGAGGGAAGGGGGAGGGGTGGTAGGGGGTGGGATGTGTACGAGAGGAGGGGGGAAAAGGGAGGTGGGCAAAATTACAGACAAGACTATCAGTTAATAATCACTCTTCTCTTCTGTCTGTCTGTTTGTTTGTTTGTGTGTTTTTGTGTGTTTGTGTGTGCGTTTGTTCGTTTATTTGTGTGCTTGTGGGTCCATCTATCTGTCTGTCTGTCTGTCTGTCTGTCTGTCTGTCGTCTGTGTGATTGTCTGTTTGTCTGTCAACATCCTTACTTGTCTGTCTGTCTGTCTGTCTGTCTGTCTGTCTGTCTGTCTGTCTGTCTGTCTGTCTGTCTGTCTGTCTGTCTGTCTGTCTGTCTGTCAACCAACCTACCCATCAACCCACTGACCCTTGCTCCCATGACCCTTGACCTTTGCCCACCAACTCATCAACTTACCGACCCACTGAACCACCTGACCCTTGACCCACTGACCCACTGACCCACAAATCCACCGACCCACTAATTCGCTACCCACCAGTCCACCAACCCACCAACCCATAGAACCACTGCCCCACTAACTCACCAACCTCTTTACCCCATGACCCTTGGTCCTTGATCATTGACACTTGACCTACTAACCCACCAACCCACTGACCCCCTGACACTTGACCCCATAACCCTTGACCCACCAACCCCCTGACCCTTTAACCATTGACCCATAACACTTGATCCACCAACCCCCTAGCCCCTGACCCTTTAACCGTTGACCCTTGACACTTGGCCCATCAACCCCCTGACACATGACCCCTTGACCCTTGACCCACTGACCCACTGACCTGCCGGCAGTACTCTGTTCCGTTCTCGAGCATCTTTCGGAGGTCTAGAGAGCTCTCCTCTCCCAACACACCGAGGTCCTTTGCAGCGTAGGCAAAACCTTGCAGCGCGTAGAAGGGTATGGAGGGTAGCTCCGGCATATACTGGTTTTCTGGAAATTGACGTTTCGAATGTAATTTGTCGCTTTTAAGCACAAGGAGGCTATCCCGAAAAATGCTGTTTTGAGAAAATCGAAGGTAAAGTTTTTGGACCGTTTTTCTTTTTTTTTTTTTAAGGCAAAATCCTTGCAATACGTAGAACGGTATGGAGGGTAGCTCCGGCATATACTGGTTCCCTGTTTGACAGATTTGGTATTTTTTAAAGTTTTTTTTGTTTGTTTTTGTTTTTGTTTTGTTTTTGTTTTTGTTTGGGGGGAGGGGGGGGTTGGGTATGTGGTTCTTTGTTGATAGATTTGTTTGTTTTTTGTGTGTTTTATTTGCTGTTTGTCTGTTTGTTTGTTTGGGGGTGGGTTTTGGGGGGTATGTGTTTTACGACGCTCGCAACTGCTATACGGTCATATTATGAGCGCGCGGGATATGTTAAGTTTAAGCATTCTCAGTTTGGTAGGAATTCGTTGTTAAATTTGCCCGGATGGCAGCCAAAGCCTACTCAGTCTTACCGATTTTAAAACCACCAAGGCAAGGTTGGTTTGGCGTTGGTTCTCTATTGATAGTTTGGTACAAAAAATGTATCGTTGGTCAGATAATAAAACGTACAAAGCCCAAACTATTTTGTTAGTTTAGAAAAGTTTTCCGGCGTTCGCAACCGTCTAAGGTCATAATATGAACGCGCGAAACTCAAGTTGGCTGCATTCACAACTTACAGTTCTCAGCACGGCTTGGTTTCACTTAATGGTAAGTCGAAATGTATCATGGTACAAATCCAGTTTGCCGAACATTTTGAAAGAAATGTGTATTTATTTACTGCAACATGCAGTTTCTTAAGCTGTGATATCGGTTGGATGTGCTCAAGGAATATTTTGTGGAAATTAAAATATTAATTATAATAAAAAGCTTAATAAATCCTGTGCGCTCATATCATATGTTTGGTCAACCCTTCTATATGGCTGTGAATGCTGGACAATCACTAAAGACAGTGAAAATAAAATAGAAGCAACAGAAATGTGGTTTCTTAGGAGACTGCTAAGAGTATAGTGGAAGGAAAAGAAATCAAATGAGGTAGTGCTTGATGAAGCCCACGTGGGACGCTCAATTTTAAAAACAACCAGAAAACGACAGATGCAGTTTTTGGGACACATAAATAGACATACGGGTCTTGAACACCTAGCTCTCACTGGCAAAATTGAAGGCAAACGAGGCAGGGGAAGGCCCAGAACAACATACCTGGGTAACCTAAAAAGATGGGTAACTGGGAAATTTCAGGGAAACGTAGCTTTTTTTAGAGCATCCGACCAAAGAAATTAATGGAGAACCATGATCGCCGATGTCTGTCGCAGATCTGGCACTAGATGTGATGAATTATGATAATAATAATAATAATAATAAATAGACTTTATTGCATATCGAATACCCCTGTTCAAATCAAGCTCTATGCGCTTTACACTATTATTATTACCCCAGCAGACTATAGAACACCCAGAAACATTCTCAGCTTCCCGGGAAGCACACAGTGCAAGCAGCTGTTTAAGCGCTCAAACACTAACAAACTGATAAGATCTTTCGCTGTTTATAGTTGAGTGCCCATTCCAACCTGGGTGAAGTGAGGAGGAAAATTCATGTAAAGTGCTTTTTCCAAGGACACAACGTTGGGTCCCTGATGGGATTCAAACCCACGACCCTACGTTTGCGAGCCCGAGAGCCTAACCACTAGACCACCGACGCCATTAGTACTTGATTTTTATTTATTTTTAACTGCATTAAAGAAAAAGATAAATCCAAATCCTCGGACAGATGTTCAAATATAACTAAGCCCACAATTCTGGTTCTCTGTTGACAGCGTGGCACAATAAATTAATACTTTGTTGTTGTTGTTGTTGTTGTTGTTGTTGTTGTTGTTGTTGTTGTTGTTGTTGTGTGTGTGGTAGCCTATCCGTTCTTAATGTTTGGAGCCCCGAAGAGCGTGCTCTTCGCCAGGACCACCGCCTTCCTTGGGTAACGGGTGAGGCAGTGTTGTTTTTGGTTTGTTTTTGTTTTTTTGTTGTTTTTTTGGTGTGTTTTTTCAGGTGCATTAGACAAAACCACAGAAACCAAACTTTTTCTATAGATAGGGCAATGCCCACTTTTAGTGTAGGTCAAGATTGCTGGAAAACCCCTGAAATTTGGGTTAGCCCGCTGGGCCCTTTGCGAAGAAAAGAATGATCTGTGCATTAAGGTCAACTGAAAGTCATTGGCCTACTATGTTTAAACTCTACTGGACTGAGCAATACATTTTGAGAGAAAAGTGACACATGTGTTTCCAAGTTGCCAAATAATATAATAGATGTATAGATTGATTCTCTATTCCGCTTTTGTGTTTGTACACTCCATAATTTCAAAAGTGTTGAAGAGTGCGCACGGCTAGTGAACGGAAACCTGACTTGTATACAATGGCATCTTAGAAGACGGACTTTCCCAAGATTAGACCTAAACGAAACTAATGGAAAAACTGAAAATTAAACTTGAGTGACGTGAGGCTCCTCTATGAAACTGTGCACCCTTTAAAAAATTCTGAACCACTAATAATTTTGTCAAATTCGAAAGTTGAGTGGTTCGGAAGTTTTAGGCTGCGAAAGCGACGAACTTTCAGATATATAATAAGTATAGATAGATACTCACTGATAGCGCACGGTTTGGGCTCGCACTCAATGCCATACTCGGGCTCAATCAGGGGCCACAACAGAAGCTCACAGAAGTTGGGCTCCCCAGTGCCGTTCATCTGCACGTACGACCCGTTCTGTAGGAGGAAACTCTTGGAATCACCTGTGAGGAACAGACGCCTTGTGAGAATGATGATGATAATGATAATGATAATAGTAATGATAATGATGATGGTAATGAGAATGAGAATGATATTGATAGTTGTAGTGATACTGATAATGCTAATGAAAATGATAATGATAATGATAATAAGAATAATAATAATAATATTAATAATATATCCCCTTCTCCTCCCACCTATAAGAACACACGGGTTGTCAGGTCCCTCTATTCTGATCAACTCCTCTGCCACTTAACTCTGTATACCATTTATACCATTTTGTGCCGTAGTCTTCTAAGCTTCTTTTCCCCACTCCCTCAACCTTCCTTCTCCTCCTCCATTTTCTCCTCCCCACCCCCTCTTCCCTCCTCCTCCTCCTCCCCCTCCCCTCCCCTCCCACCTTTAAGAACACACGGGTTGTCAGGTTCCTGTATTCTGACCAACTCCTCCGCCACCTGTCTCTGTATGCCGTTGGTGCCGTAGTTGAGATAGCTGTGAACGTACAGGTCAAACTTGCGTTTGGCGAGGATCACCTGAAATCGCCAGAGACAATCAATCAATCAATCAGTCAATCAATCAATCAATCGATCATTCAATCAATCAATCAGTCAGTCAGTCAGTCAATCAGTCAATCAGTCAATCAACTAATCAATCGATTAATCTAGCAAAAAAGCACTCAAGCAAGATAGCAAGCAAGCAATCACCCACGCAATCAATCAATATATCATTCGACCGTTCGATCAATCAATCAATCGATCAATCAATCAATCGATCAATCAGGTAAACAAGCAAGCAAACATTCAACCAATCAACCAATCAACCAGTCAATCAATCAATCAATCAATCAGTCAATTAATCTCAACATGGAATAAAGCAGAACAATTTTATGTTGTGGAAGCAACATCACGTGCCTATTATTGAAATAATCTCTCTCTCTCTCTCTCTCTCTCTCTCTCTCTCTCTCTCTCTCTCTCTCTCTCTCTCTCTCTCTCTCTCTCTCTCATATATACTACATTATGAATGGATGGATAGATGGACGAATAGATAGATAGATAGATAAATAGATAGATAGATAAACAATTAGACAGACAGACAGACAGACAGACAGACAGACAGACAGACAGACAGACAGACAGACAGACAGACAGACAGACAGACAGACAGACAGACAGACAGACAGACAGACAGACAAATAGATAGACAAACAGACAGACAGATAGGCAGACAGATAGTTACATATAAAAAACAGTTTTCCTTACAGAGTATTCCCCTTCGTAGGGCTGATCCTCAGGGATAAAGGCTATCTGTGTGGACCCCCCACCCATCTCCATAATTCCAGCAGTCTCGTTTACAGGTCTGAGGAAGACAATACAAGGGTTAATAATCACGGAATAACATTGATTTATTACAGTCAATGCAAGGGTTAATTACCGTTCTATGATATTTATTAATTACAGTCAATACTAGGGTTAATACGGAATAATATTGATTAGTTATAGACAATACAAGGGTTAATTATCACAAGATAATATTGATTAATTATAGACAATACAAGGGTTAATAATTACACTATAATTTTGATTAAATATAGTAGGCCTATAGATAGCATGCGTATAGCGTAAATTCCCGATCTATGCGCTTTATACTCGTATTCTACATTATCATTATTACCCCTGCAGACTTGATGGCTTAATCCTGAACCAGTTTCAACTTCCCGAGAATCATACAGTGATTATAGACGATGCCGCGGTAAATAAGCATAATATGACAATACTAATTATAGATAATACAAGGGTTAAATTTTATAAGACTATTAATTACAGACAATACTATGGTTAATAATCACACTAATATTACGAGACCATTAAAGGGTTAATGTTGATGAATATTGAAATAGACAAGGGTTAGAAATTATACAGTAACACAAGACAATACACGGGCCAATAATGATTCTATATTAGTCATAGCGTACTTTAAGCAGAGAACGCCATGATATTAGTCAAAACAAGGATTAATGATGATTCTATACTATTTGGCAAAATTTGGGTTGATGATGATAAATGATGTAGACAATACAAGGCTTAATCATAAACATCATTATCCAGTGCCAGACCTGAGACAGACATCATGGTTCTCCATTAATTCCTTTGCTCGGATGCTCTCAAAAAAGCTACGTTTCCCTGATCTTTCCCTGATACCTATTTGTTTAGGTTCCCTAAGTATGTTGTTCTGGGCCTACCCCTGCCTCGTTTGCCTTCCATTTTGCCAGTGAGGGCTACATGTTCAAGACCCATATGTCTATTCAGGAGTCCCCAGAACTGCTTTTGTCGTTTCCTGATTGTTTTTAACATTGAGCACCCCACGTGGGCTTCATCAAGCACTTCCTCATTTGATTTCTTTTCCTTCCACGATACTCTTAGAAGTCTCCTGAGAAACCACATTTCTGTTGCTTTTATTTTATTTTCACTGTCTTTAGTGATTGTCCACCATTCACAGCCATATAGAAGGGTTGACCATACATAGCATTTCAGAACTTTCATTTTGGTGGTCTTTGAGATGTTCCTATTTTTCAGGATTGGGCTCAATTTATAAAACAAGTAGAATAATAATTATCCTAGAGACTATAAAAAGAACTAGCTATAATAAAACAATAACATTTAACAATTGAAGTGTGAATACTGACCCAACAATTTAAAAGAATGTAAATTAATGGTTAATAATGAAATTTCCTTACGTGCGCGCGTATATTTTTTTTAAAGCGCGATAAAGGGGAACAAACTCAGTAAATGTTTTTCATAAAATTGTTTTACATGAGTTGCCTCCTTTTATAATGATGACCTAACGCCTTTGAAAGTCGTAATGTTCACGTTCTATTGATGGTACTTATCAATAATTGAAGAAGAAGAAGAAGAAGAAGAAGAAGAAGAAGAAGAAGAAGAAGAAGAAGA